TTTGCTTAAATGAAAATATAGACCAGAAACTTTTTTTTTTCCACAATAAACCAATTATAATATAACTTGAGATTTAAAAATTGCATGTAATTATGAATATCTATAAAAGAAGTTCCAGAACAGTTTTTTTCCCCCAAAAAAATAAAGCATATTTTGTATAGTTAAGGTTTTATTAAATTTCAAAATTTTTTTTTTCTTTTTGGTTTTTACTATGCTACATGTGTTGAAAAATAATAATAGATTACAAATCTAGTATATATGATTTGTGCATAATTTCACATCGGTCCTTACGGTTAAGATTTTATTTTAATTTAGTTCTTGACTCAATCAAACATCACAAATAATTGTTTTATTTTATTTTCAAAGGCTCTAAAATAGTCATGTTTGTTGTCATACTAGCACATATTTTATGGGACAGTGAATTTATATTATTTAATTGGCTAATTAGTTGTCTGTATTAAAGTTCATATATAGTATAAAGTATATTAATAAAAAACAGGAATTTTAAAAATGGGTAAAGACCATTTAGATAAAAATGATGAAATATAACCCAATTGTAGGAATGTAACTGAAAATTTAATAAGATATATAAATCAAAATTTAAAATCTCAAATGCCAAATTAAACCATTTGACCAAATTTATAATTTCACTCATTATTTTGTTTAAGTGTAATGATGGTGGAGTAGTGTAATGGTCGTGGAGTTGAATCATCTACGTCACGATAGTAATAGATGTTCGATCCAATAAACTATGTTAGAATTGACAATTTAATCCAATACTATAAAAAAAATGCGAGCTATAAAAAGTTATTTTAACCGTGGTTAAGTCAAGTATTTTAATATACTTATATTAGTTGTATCTGTTCGTTCCTACTGTAACTCAAATGTCATAAATATAGTTCCATTGATTATAGAACCAATATTCAACTAAAATATATTGAGTTCGAACTCCAACCCCACATGTTGTACTAAAAATGATAAATTGAATTGATTAAACTATATATAATCAACTAAGAAGTTAGAAGTTTGGATCTTCATTCCGACGTGTCTTTTTTAAGTACAATATGTGAGAATGAGATATTGAACTCACAGCCTATTGGTTGGAGATATATACCATTTAATTGCTGAGTCATGCTCGTTTTGGCCACTCTGACATGTTATTAAAATATAAAAAAAAATCATAAATTTATTAGAAAGACTACATTAGCATAAACATTATAATTGTTTGTTTGGTTTTTTTAATAAAAGTAGAGCTATAGGAGTAAAATAAATACCGTGTTCAATGATATGCTATTAAACTAAAAAAAAAAGTATACATGTATTAAAAATGCTGCATTAGCTTAGAAGTTGTAATTATTCTTTAAACAATAAAAAAAGGTATGGGAAAAAAATAAATATAATATTCTGACAAAAGATTAGAATTATTTTTTTAATATATAATAATAAAAAGGAGCTATCGGAATAAAATAAATACAATATCGATGACACTTAAAAATTAGAATGATTTTTTTGCAACAAAAAAAGAGCTCTCGGAACAAAATAATACGATATTGACAACAAATAAAAACAGCTCCCGGCGAGGATCGAACTCGCGACCTTTCGCTTACGAAGCGAACGCACTACCACTATGCTACGGAAGCAGATGTTTAAATTGCACACAACTATTTTAAATATTTACAAATTACGCCCTACACCATCTTCGCATCGTTTTATTTTCAGGGAACTGCGACGGCCACGCTCTCGCTGGCGGGGACGGCAATGTGTGGAATCGCTTTGATTTTTTCTGGCGTTCGCCTCAATTTGTCACTTCTGCATGTAGACGCCAGATCGCCGTCTCTTCACCCAGTCCACGAGCAAGTGAGTCATCTTTTAGCTTTTAAATTCTACGACTCCTCAATTTCTTCCCATTCAGTTATACAGTTCGTTATAATTTGGATTAATTTCTGTGGCGCGAATTCGATTTTGGGTTTGTATGATGTTCTTTTTGGCTATGTATTGATTTTAGTTTCGTTTTCCTGCTCCAGCTCGAGTTTCCTATAGATGGTCTTAAGGCGGCGTTGCGGAGAAGGGGACCCGATAGCTTAGGCGGAGTGAAGGTTTTTATCTCGTCGAAATCTTCTAGTCATGGCGAAGAAAATCTGTTTGAGTGCTTCATTGAGAGGGTTGATGATGGAGATGCATTCGAGAATCAAAATGATCGATACAAGATGGAAAATAGTTGCTTCTGTTCGGAAAATGGATTGGTTCTTCAATCAGAGAACAGTCATAGCGATCCCACTTCTGTTGCGGAGTTGTATTTAATAGGGGCTACGTTGCAGCTTAGAGGGCTTAACCCTATTGTTCAGCCACTGATGGATGCTTCCCGCAATATTCTTGTTTACAATGGTAAGCTTTATGCAGAAACTTATTTACTCAAGTTCGACATTTGGCTTTTTTTAATTTGTTCATTGATTATACCTTTTCCGTTGCGTATGACATTGATCATTTATGACGCCATATGAATATGCTGCGTCTTATATATCTGGTCCGGCAGAACCTTATCACCAGTTAGGTCCTTTTTTTTGGGTCCATCTTATTTTTAACTATTATAGCAGGAACTATAATAAATTTATTTCATATCGTTTTCATTTTCAAAAGGCGAAATATTTGGAGGAATACCCATTGAGCGTGATGAAAATGATGCTGAAACTCTTATGCAAGCTCTAGGGACTTGTTGCGCCAGCAATTTTAATTTAGATATAAGCACGTGTAACGGTGAAGGTAAGGGACAAAGCACAATCGTAGATATTCTTTCAAAGATTCAAGGGCCATGGTCAATCATCTACTGGCAGGTAACTGTTAGTGGTAAGTTTCTCTGTTATGTTAACTGGCCCTGTGCACCGTCTATCCTTGTGTTTTCTTGTCGTTCACTTTTAACCAAACCTATCATGTTTAGGATAGAGCAAAAACTTTGTGGTTTGGTCGCGATGCCTTTGGTAGGCGAAGTCTTCTTGTTCACTGGCCAACAGTGGAGGATTCTCGGTTTCTGTTGTCTTCTGTATCACCAGCTTCTTCCATATTTCACAGCTCTGGTATACTGTGCATGGTAGCACTTTACGTATCTTCTGTTGGTGTTATGTAGTCAGTTTATTGCTTATTAATGATTTCTTTTTGTGCTTGTGGTATTATACTATCTGCAGGGCTTGATGATGATAATGGTACTTGTGAAGTGAGCTTCTGGGAAGAACTTCCATGTGGGATTTATAGCATCTCTTTTGATGCTCAGAGCAGGGACTGTTGCCTGGTCGGTGCAGTCAAAAAGCATGAGTGGACCAATGAGTCACTGAAAGAACTTGTTGAGTGGAAGAGAACTCGTATTGAACCTGAACCTGGAAATATCTCCGCCTCATATCTCAAGGATTTTTTGTCACAGCATGAATGCAACTCTGGATGTTTACATAACTTGCAATCCATATCAGGTATCTATGATTCCTTTTCATTGTGGTACCAAAACTTATAAACCAGAGTTCCAATTCTTATGGTAGTTTGTTTGCTGTCACTACCACCTTGTCAATGAAAAAAATATCTGGTTTTGATGAAGAATGTAATTTCTCGACATCTTTGATGTTGCTTTTGTTGATTGAAAAGGGAGTACTGAAGCTCCTGTTTCAACACCTGCGGAGATTGTGTTGGATGCTCTAAGAAAGTCTCTGATCCGGCGTACTTCACTTTACACAGTTTTCCAGGTTCAAAATTCCACTCTGTGGCTCTTCTATTGGTTTGTATTAAGATAGTACTTCTGAGCATGTGTTTCCTTTGAGCTGTTTTGTTTTACCGTGAAAATCTCTCTCTTGGTTTGCTTAAATTTTTGCACAGTGCACAAGCATAGTTTTGCAGCATGTATTTTTGCTGATTAAGCACTTGCGATTTAAAACTTTGTCATTGAAGACTTAGGTAATAATAAATTTAGTTACCTTTGGCATTCTTTTATTTTTCTCTTCTATTTAGTTGTGAAATCAGCACAGGTTAGAGGCTACCCGTGTATTCCATAGTTCTCTGGACAAGCTCTTTTCTAATAGAGTTTATAATATTTACTGGCATGTCTTAATGGTGGCAAACACTCATAGAAGAGACAAGCACACTGCTAAAGCCTAAATTACAGTAAATTCTTTTGTAGTTACATTCTTTCCATGTTTTTGAACTACTGGAAAGCTTTTATATAGCTAGTTTGGGTGGGGTTCTCTCTACCCCCGCCCTTAGTTTGTTTTCTTTCCTCTTTTGCTTAATAACAGGTTTCTTATCCCCCCCCAAAAAAAGAAAAAAAGTCTGAAAGGGAGAAATTTATTGTGAATGCATAGGGCACAACATCTGCTTCCAGAAAAGCCGAGCTTGGTCCAGTGGCCATTCTTTTTTCTGGTGGATTGGATTCTATGATACTAGCAGCATTACTGGATGAGTGCCTAGATGCCTGTTGTAAGTGTTTATTAGTTCACCTGAATGTCAATCATATTCTATTATTAAACTTGATGTGTGGGGGCCGAGATACTGAATGAAGTGATGTTACTTTAATGCCTAGTCCCAGTTAGTTGATTAATTGGTCTCATCGTCTCTACAGATGAAATTGATCTTCTTAATGTCAGCTTTGATGGTTGTTCTGCACCTGATCGAATCTCTGCAAAGGCTGGAGTTCAGGAACTAAGAAGGATTGCACCTCTAAGAAGGCATTATTACTGAGCTTTATCTTGGGTTTTGCATTGTCCTTATTGTGGGTCAATTTTTTTAGTGCTAAATATGTGGAGTTTTTTTAGTTTACTAAAACCACAGAGTAAAAATATGAAGTAGGAAACAAAAATGAAAATAAAGTGTTATGCTTGAAAGTTTTTGCTAATTTGAGTCCGGTGATATCATATAGTTGGAAACAAAACGAAAATAAAATGCATGATACTGTTTTTCAGGGTAGGTCTGTTTTATCATCTTTCGGATAAGATAGTAGAATCTGGGTTATTATTTCATTGGCATCTTCTTTGGTTACTGGGCTTGCAATATCTTATTGGGCTTGCAATATCTTATTAGTAGTCCCTTGGAATCAAAGTTAACTCCAACTAAAATAATTTGGAAAACAAATGGGTCTAAGAATAAATAAAATTTTATCTGTAGTTAGTGATTCTCTAGAAGTTAAGACCGGTGACTTCCTTCAATCAAAATAATATATTATGTCCTAGCACTTAAGAGATATGATTTGCAGTAGGGGAAAAAAAATTGAAAGTTTCATGGCCCTTCACTCTGTCTTGTGCTTGAAACAGCGATCTTGCTAGTGCTTACATTTTCTTTCTTTTCCTCTTATGTGGATTGTGGAATGTTTTATTTTATTTTCTACACCCTCACTTTATTTAAAATTTTAGGTGGAAGCTGGTCGAGGTTGATGCTGATTTGTCAGATTTGACCTCTGAAACCAAGCATGTCATGTCTCTAATAAATCCTGCAAATACGTACATGGTACCCTACTTTTGTTGAGTAAATAATATAGTTTAGTGTTTGCCAACTTGGTTTTATGTTAGCATTCTGATAGACCTGCCTTGATGCGAGTTATTATATTGCATGGAATCACCAATCTATTCCTATGCTCCAAGTAAAATGAGATTATGGCCCAATTCAGTGTTTATTGGGTTAAAAAAACGAAATTATGGTTAAACCCTTCACATTTGCTGTGTGATATGTATATCACAAATATATGATTTTAAGGGTTTTGAACTTGTGGCCTCTTTGGTTGAGAGTCCATGGACTGTTAACTCTGTTTAACTTTTGGGTTGTTCTCATAATCCTTGTTGTAATGACTAATGCTTATTGGGTTTGAACTTGAGGTTTTCACTCTGCCTGCAATATTTAGTAATTTGGAAAAAAGACGGGAGATATTTGGTATTCCATATTAGCAGTGGGAGGGTTTAGATATCCAAGGTCTTATCAGTTATCACCATTGGGGATGACGTTCGTATGTGTAAAACAGTAATCCTTTCTACCATGTGTTTTTTTGGCTATTTTTTCTGCAAGTATTCTGGTCAAGATGAATTCATATCTCATTATAAACCCCACCCTTAAAATTTGTGTGCCTGACTTCAATGCAACAAATTTTAAGCTTGGTAGACTGAGTGGCTAGTATCATCCCATTGATAGTTCTTCGTTACCTTTTATTTAATTGCAGGACCTGAATATTGGAATTGCTTTGTGGCTGGCCTCTGGTGGCAATGGTTGGATTTACGAAGCAATTGACAAGGATGAGAAGTTTCATCGACGTGTTAAATACAAGTCTGAGGCCAAAATTCTCTTGGTTGGTTCTGGTGCTGATGAGCAATGTGCTGGCTATGGTAGGCATCGAACAAAATTTAGACAAGGGGGGTAAGTGTAAACTGTTGTCATTTCATACATAAGCTTTGCGTTTCTATAATTTCTAGAACATACTGCATTGTCACATTCTGATGTTCATTGCATAACCTTTATTATTTTTTATCATCATTTGATCTGTTGGTATAGAAATGTGAAGATTCGACCTCATCTATGGGGATAGAAATGACATCAGAAGAACTTGTATATTAGGGAGGGTGTCTTTTCAACATAGAAGATGTTCCTTTTCCTTTAAGCATGCTCATGCACAAGCATAGGACTTGGATATTTGTTAAAGCTCATTTTTGGTAAAATGTGAGACCATAAAAATGTTTTTGCAGTGTATAATTTAGTGTCCTGCAATGTTCCCTTCAGCTGGCATCTTTTAAACGAGGAAATGAAATTGGATATTCAGAGAATCTGGAAGAGAAATCTAGGGAGAGATGATAGATGTATTGCTGATAATGGCAAGGAGGTATTTCCTAGAAATGATGTGCCAATGCTACTGTTGCATGTCTCATTTTTTCCTCATTTAACTAAAATTTCGCTCCTTTTCTCAGGCTAGGTTTCCATTTTTGGATGAAGACGTTATAAATACATTGCTATCATTTCCTCTATGGGAGGTCACTGACCTTGAGAAACCTGTCGGAACCGGTGATAAGAAGATACTTAGGGAGGTCTCTTCTACTTTTCCCACTTAAATTTCATTCTCCAATGATATTTTTCATATGAGCAAATATTAGGCTAAATTACAAAAAAAATACCTTGAAATTTGCCATTTGTTTAAAAAATACTTCTATTGTTTAAAAAGTTTCAATACTAATTACTACCCTTATCCTTTCATAAGCATTTCAAAAGTACTTTTGAGAAAATAGAAAGTTGACGTGACGTGACAATTAACGTGGAAGCTTCCCCACCTTTATTCTCTTTTTCCTCCATGCTTCTCCATTGTTTACTCAATTTTGTCCTCATTCCCCATTTTTAAAACGATAGCTTCTCCCACATTTTCTCTATTTTCACATTTAATCCAGGCAAGACTTTCACATTAATTGTCACGTCATTTTTAATTCTGTTGAGTCAACTTTTCATTTAAAATATTAACGGATGTTTGTTGAAAATGTATTTTTGAAACCTCTATGAAAGGTCAATGGTAGTATTGAAAATTTTGAAAGGATAGAGATATTCTTTAAACAATCATCGAGAGTGTTGATAATTATTTGCTAGCCTCTTCCTTTATGGAGGAATTTTATTAACTCAAAAAAGTAGGCCTGATCAGAAAGTAACTGACATTGTGTCACCTTATAATAATAATGAAAGATAAATTACTCGAGATGGATATACCAAAATAATAACCTTAACAGCATCCACATTATATATTTGAAGGTCGCGAAATTACTTGGTCTGCATGAAGCAGGAGCTCTAGCTAAAAGAGCAATACAGGTATGTTAATGACTTGATCTTTCCTCTAGTCACCACCCTCTTAGTTTAACAACAACTAAAATATTATGAGATCGGTTGCAAGCAAAAACTGTGTGATATGATTGGTATATCGAAAGGACTCGACTCGACTTGTTAGAACTTTGATTAAATGTAACTTTGACTCGGAGCCAGGGGGGACACATATACTTTTCTTTAGATGCTTCTGTAATCCTAATCCACATTCGACTCCACTCTAGTTTGGCTCAAGGATTGCGCGGGAATCAAACCGTAAGAACTTCGGGAGCAACCGAGCTGCTAATCAGGCCTCAGCAGGGAGTGTGAAGATCAAGCAGCATACGAGCAGCTGAGTTTTATTTATAAGGATAAGTTGAAGAGAATCTGGTTTTGTTGAACTGGCAATTGAACTAACACCGTTGCATCTAAGCTATTTTGAGCAGTATTTTGATTTTGACTAGAATTAACCCGCTCTTCTTGTAGACTGGTGTAGCCATCTTAGGAATTTGTAATGTAACATTG